CTCCATCATCCTCACACTGACCCCCTCCTGCCATCCCTGGTCCTCCTCCAGCCCTGTCCTCTCCTCCTCCCTCATTTTCTCCCACTGGAAGATTTTTTTTCCTAACTTTAAAACCCTTTCATCCCTTCATGTTTTATCAAGATAGAGCACATTTTGCTCTATTTTGCCCAATATTCAGCTCATCTCACAAAACTAGGTCACCAAATTCGCAGCTTATACGAATTAGGCTTTAAAGACCCAGAAAATCCCTCTTTTTGCCTTTTTTTTTTTTTTTCTTCATTTCTCTGTATAACTTCCAGGTCTAAAATATGTACCCAAACAAACACCACTTTGTTTTAAAATTTGAAGAGTTATTTACAAAATAACTTCTCTTCGATTATTTTGCTGGAAAAACAATTCTGCAAAGAATAAAAACAAGCCACATGGGTGTTCTGGGCTGCAGGTGAGCCCTGCAAAGCTTCCATCCCAGCAGGAGGTGGGGGGTTATGGAAACATCAGGGAATTTTTGTGGAAATATTAAGGAGCTTTTATGGAACTATCAAGGAATTTTTGAGGAAATATAAAAGTTTTTATGAAAATATCAGGATGGGAGAGCACAGAGGATTCACCCTGGGACCAGGCTGAGCTGCAGCCTGAGGCTCTGGGATGTGCAAGGAGAACAGGATGGAAACACTGGAACACCAACATATGGACTAAAAAAATGATCCAAGATATTCTGAACATTCCCTGGGGCAGAAAGCAGGCTGGGAAATGAAGGCATGGACTTGCTGGCTGCAGGAGCATCACATCCCACGTTCCCAGCCTTTCCCCCAGCATCAGCACAGCACCAGAACATCCTGGGAGCACCAAAACCCACCAGCCTGGTAACACACACACTGCCAAAATCCCTCCAACAGTCACAGTTCGGAGGGAGACACAACTTTTGGCTGCCCTTCAAAATTCTGAGCCACACTGAATTGCTCCAAACTTTGTTTAAAGAAACAGGATTAATGAAATTTTGGACCCTATTTTCTTGTTAGTAGATAGACCTTGTAGGAGCCTGATACACCAACTCATCCACGCAGAGCAAATTCGGTCCAGATAATCTAACAAATAGAATTAATTATCTGCAAAATTAGTCTTCAAAGATCATAAACCACACAGGACACAGCTCAGAGTCAGGTGTGATGTTCACCTGTTACTCTGTTATTCTGATGGGTGTGTGATTGCTGGCTGCACATTTTATTCCATTTCTAACCATACTTTCTCACATTCCACCACTGATTGCACAACTGAACATTTATATTCCAAGTGGGATGTTAATGGCAGGGACTTGACACACAAATGTGGGATTGGAGTCTTTCAGTAACTGGAACAATCAGCTCAGCTCTCTCAGCAGTGTTAGTGCTCAGGTGACAAACAAATGGCATTTTTTCCCTCTCTGAATGTGGGACAGGCTGGCCTCTCTTCACTTGGGACACTTAGAGTATTGCTTTGGGAAAACCATGAAATAAAACCTCCTTCTGGAGTGCCACTCTGGCTAAAATCCTACATCCCTTGCACTGTTTTCAAAGAACAGGTGATGTCCACGAGGGCCTGGGGGATTTTCCTGCTTTAACTCCACACAGTCCCAGAACGGGCTGAGTTGGAAGGACCCACGAGCGTCACAGAGCCCAACCCTTAACCCTGCAGGGGCCTATCCCCAGGGCCCCACCCCGTGCTGGGAGGATCATCCAGCTTGTAATTCCCGTGGGTCTGCCAGCTCCTGGCCCAGCCAGGCAGCTCGTGGCCCTGCAGCCCCAGTGTCCCAGCCCACACTCACCCGTGGTCTCCACGATGCCCTCGAGGATGACGACGATCTCGAACTGCTCGGTCTGCATGCTGCGCTGGGACAGGTCGTAGAACGGGCTCTTGGAGTCTATCACGTGGCAGATGGTGAGGGGGGACACCAGGAACAGCTGGTCAGCCCCGGTGCTGAAGCCCACGTCGAGCTCCAGCTGATCCAGCGGCAGGAATTCACCCTCCGGGGTCTGCCGGGACTGGGCAGGGAGAGACAGAGCAGGGCAGGAGGTCAGGAGAGGCTGGGCATGGGAACAGAGTGCCCAGGGGGCTTGGGGACATCCCTGGAAGTGTCCAAGGCCAGGTTGGAGCAACCTGGGCCAGCGGAAGGGTGTCCCTGCCCATGGCAGGAGGTGGGACTGGGTGGGCTTTAAGGTCCCTTCCAACCCAAACCAGCCTGGGATTCTGGGATCACTGCTGGAATGACCATCACCAGGACACCCCTGCAGCAGCCCACATCCCATAAACCACATCCCACACCCCACACCCCACATCATCTGCTCTGCACCACCCATCTCACCAGGCAAACCCTGCTCCAGCCAGCAGGCCATGCCAGAGGTGGGAGCCCAGCACTGGCAGAGGAGGCAGGAATTATTTCCAACCCATATTTTACTGCCATCACACATCATCAGCGTGGGAGCCCTGGAAAACCACTGGCCACCCACAGGAATGGAGGGGACCTTAAAGCCCACCCAGTGCCACCCCCTGCCACGGGCAGGGCCACCTTCCACCAGCCCAGGCTGCTCCAAACTCCATCCAACCTGGCCTTGGACACTGCCAGGGATGGGGCAGTGCTGGCTGGACAGTTCTGGGTGTCCCTGATGTCACCCACAATGTCCCATCATTAACAGCCACCTCACAAAGCCATAAAATGCCACCTAGAGCTGAAGCCTCCAGTCCCAGCTCGCAGTGCTTCCCTTGGCATCCCTAATCCACAAGGAGCCCTGGTTGAACACCCCCTCTGCAGCTTTTATTCCTTCTCCCTGAGTTATGAATAGGCAGGAACAGAACATTACAGCCCAGCCTGGTCATTACTTTTATTACAGAATTTCCCATTATTTCCATTTAGATTTTTTTTTTAAAAAAAGAGCTTTAGGAACTGCTGGGGTTGTTCTGCAGAGCCAAACCCAGCATTAAATCATTGCCTGGGATGCCTTTCCATCCTTCCCCACATCTGGAGCTGAGGGGGGAACATTCCCACAACGAGCAATTCCACCGACTTAAACGGGATTTTTTAATATCTAAAGGCATCAGACAGAGCAAACAGGATTAGGAGCCTCACTCAGGACTTGGGTTCTATTTTTAAACCTCCTCCTGAGTGGGGTGCTGGATTGGGAACAGATCAACCCCCAAACAAGCAGTGGGGTGTCTTGTTCAAGTCTGGGCTCCCATTTTTGGGTGTGCAAGTGCAGATTTCCCAGCCCTGCTCCCATTATATCCCATCCCAGCTCTCACAGCCCTACAGGAGCCCAGGGCACACCTGCACAAACCCCCACCTGCAGGGCTGGGCCTGTTCCCTCCCCACGGGGAAGTTTTTAATTAAAAAGGCAAAAATCCCCCAGGAAAAGCAGCAAATAATTCCTGTGAGCTGAGCAAGGAGCAGCTCCAGGGAGGGAACTGCTTCCATGGACAGCTGGAGAACAGCACAGGCACGGGGAGGGGAGGCTGGGATGCTGTGGGTGACACTGGGGACACCCAGAACTGTCCACCCAGCACTGCCCCTGGATCCCTGGGAGGTTGGATGGGGTTTGGAGCACCCTGGGCTGGTGGAAGGTGAATGAATGGGCTTTAATGTCCCTTCCCACCCAAACCATTCCAGGATTCCGTGATTCCATGATCTTAAGAGGTGAAATAGTGATGGAAAAAGAGGGTTAAAGAGGGTTAAAGGGGCTTGAGGGTCTCAGCACAGGCCAGGAAAACAGGATGAGCTCCAGAGGGGGGAAGGAAATCCCGGAATCACAGATTCTTCCAGGCTGGAAAAGCCTCCAAGAGCATCAAGTCCAACCAGCATTGTCCCCTGTCCCCAAGTGCCACATCCACATGGATTTCACATCCCTGCAGGGCTGGGGACTGCACCCCTGCCCAGGTCAGC